CGGGCCTAAGCCAGCAGTCAGACATCCTTAGCGCTGCCACAGAGGCAGGAGAGGCTCCCACCACTGCCGCTAAGCTCACCAGCCATGAGCCCAGCTTCTGGCTGAGTGGCACTCCCCCTGTGGGAGCACTCAGACCACCAGGAGGCAACTCTTGCATTGAGCATCTGCCCCCTGGTGGTCAATGCACATCATAGTGACCAGTCATTCCACTGTTCAGTCAATTTGCATATTAGCCTTTTATTCTATAGGATATCCTAAAGGGGGTGTGGAGCATGAGCCCTGCCCAGAAAGCAAGGGAAAATAAGAAGTTGAAGGGAGGACCCAGCCCAAATAGGCTGTGTGGTTCAGGGAGCCCTTGGTGGAGGGAGCGGCATATGGGCAGAGAGCAGAGGGGGTAACGGGGGCCCGAAAAGGAGACGAGTGCCCCAGAGAATTTTGCCTGCTTCAGTTTTGTCAAAGGCCAGCCTGTGGATGGTCTCTGAAAGAAGGTCCCAGAGCCTAGAGGCAGAGAACCTATGATGTCACACCTGACATTTGTGACACAGGCACTAGATGTCACGGAGAACTACCCCCAGGATATGGGTCTTCTAGCTCCCAAGGGGGGTGGCAGTGCCACCCCTTAGACCAAGTCCCAGTCTTTCAGAGGCTTTCACCAGCTAGCCACATGCTTCTGCCCCTGTTGGGCGTGATAAGCCATATTGACTAGGGCCAGGCAGAGCCAGAGGACATCAGCTTTAGGGGCAACAAGGGGTCAGGGGAACCAGACTGGCAGGAAACCAGGATGCTTGCAGAATCCCTGATTCAGGTTTAGGAGAACAAAAGCCTATAACAGAAGACTCCCTCCTGGCTAAGGAGGACTGAAGATCAGGCTCGGACAGAAATCTGGGTCAGAGTGAGTTTAGGGTAGAGGATGCTGGGGGCAGAGAGGGGTGGATCCACTCTTTGGTGACTGTTCCTTTTTCTCCCAGGTCCTGTCCTTTCTGAAGTGCCTTGTAAAACAGCCCAGAGGAACCTTCATGGGTAAGACCTTACAACACCAGAACAACCTCAATTCCTAGTTGCATCTCAGCCCCATACCCTCTTCTCCAACTACTTCCTACCCTCTCTCCCTCCCTATTTCTCTCCTCCTCAGCTCTAACCTTCCCTTGAGCATTTTGCCAGCTCTTCTGCCCCCAAAGGTGACATGGGTTTAGGGTCTTAGTGAACCAGCCTGGAACTGGCCCCTGAGACAGAGCTGGAAATGGACCCATTCTCTCAATATCTTGGGCTCTGTTTCTTTCTCTACAGGTCCTATGGGCTGTGCCTTCCTCCCTGGCCCATTCAGATAATTGCTGCCACCCCCAGGCTCCCAGAGGCAGCTCGGATTCTCCATCCCTATACATCCCTCATCAAATGGCCAACTGCAAAGAAGAGAGAAGCCAAGCTTAGATCCCACCTCCTGCCTGAACACCCAGAGAGCCTGGTGCTGCTGGGCTAGGTGTCTCCTACGCTGCAACCAGAGATACTGGTCCTGGCTGCCAGGTCTCTAATCTCTGGTCTTGCCGCCTCAGTCCTTTCCTGTTTCAAGGCGATGTTGCCTCAAAACAAGGACCAAGGGCTGCTACAGAAAGCAGCGCCCCCTGGGGGTCCCCCTCAGGGCCCCTCACAACTTGTGGGCTCCCTTCCTCAGAACCTTCAGCCTTTGCCTCCGCAGAAATCGCTCCCTTCCGCCCCTCCACCTTGCTCCCCTCCGCCACAGTCCCACTCTCCTGGCTCCCATTCCTCCTCTTCTGACTCAAATTCTGACTTTGTCCTACAACCCTGCTCTTCCTCTCTCCCAAGTTCCCCCGTTTTCTTTCATCAGAATTGCCCGTCTCTCTCCCTTCCACGTTCCTCCTCTCCCTCCTGCCATCTATACCCCTCTCCGCCCCCTGCTCAGTCCTCTAATCCCTCTCGGCCACAGAACTCCTCTCTCCCACCCTGCCGGTCTCCTTTCCACTCCGAAGACCTACCTAGCTCCACGCTCACTTCCCAGAACCCCAGCCTACCTTGTCCTGGGGTCCACCCCAATAGGCAGACATGGCACTGGCCTCAGCACCAGGACACCAGATCCCCTGGGGTGGCGGAGGGATGCGTGGCAAGCGAAAAGGACGCTGCAGAGTTCAGGAACCCGGGAGCCCTGGCCCAGGCCCTGGTGGTGCAGCTGGGGTACCGTCGCATCGCACACGACCTCCGGTTACTCATTTTGCAGAGCCTGTGGCTAGGCAGAACCGACCAGCCTCCGGTTGTGGAGTACCCTATATGCCTGGTGTGTCTCCGGCCCCGCAGTCCCTCTTGCCCCACCCCCAGGTACAGGACTGGACCCCGGCTGCTTGCCTTCCCCCAGCTACTGCCCTGTGCACACGGCCAGGAATCGAGACCACGCCGCATGGGCATCGGCTTTGCTCTCCGCCTGCCTCAAGGCCAGGCCAGGACTTTGCATCTGTTGCCAGAAAGAAGACGGGAGGAAGCAGGACCTCAGGGCGAGGCCATGCAGGCCCCTGGGTATCGAACCCACGCATTTCAGGCCCCAGCAGCTCAGGCCTGGGCAGATTCAGCCTCAGGCAAACCCTCCCCGCCCGGGAGCCTCAGGTCTGCAGGCCCTCCATCACCAAATTCCACTCAATGTTCAGGGCCTCCGCGTCAGGCACTCAAACAGGCCGCGGTCTCCCTGAAGCCCGGGCTTTCGTCGGCTCCAAGCCCTGCCTCTCCAGAGCCTATTCTCCGAAAGTTGCCATCCTATTTCCAGAGCCACGGAGGCTCACTGGAGCACCTCTTCTAAACCCTGCCGTCCCCACCAGGCCCCAGATCTCGGGGAGCCCCCGAGACACCCTGAAGGGCTGGCTGGCTGGCGGTCAGGTGTGTTCTCCAGCCCTGAACCCTGGAAGTCCCTTGTGGAGCCTGCTCTCTCCTGGCTGAAGAGGACCAAGGGTACGGGAGGCCCCATTCTGCCTTCAATGTATCCAATAAAGCTTAACCCTGCAAAACCTGTGTGTGTGTCCTGTGGAGCAGACACCCTGCGTACCTAATGGCCAGGGAGAGTGGATGCCATGTACCTGAAAAGGCCAAGGGGCCCACAAAGCCCGAGCACCTGAGATGTGCCGGGCTCTGGCTGGTCCTTCGCACATTAAATTTGGTGAAGCAGATCATGGCATCCCCAAAGGTGAAGCCACTGGGTCCCTTCCGCTGGGTGCACCTTAGGTTAACGAGGATGCATGCCGATGTGGCCGGGGGAGCAACCGAGGTGTCTCCTTGCAGGAAAGGGCACTCTTCGCATTCACTTGCAGAGAACCACCAGGATGCTCCCATTTGGAGATAAGAAATCCAAGGGCCCCCTCGGGAGGGTGGAGACTAGATCTGCCCTGCTAGCGGCGGATTGCCAGCCTCTGCGATGTCCAAGGGGAGCAGCCCCCGCCCACTAACCCTAGGGCACAGGTGCAGGGTCCCCAGGGCACAGGTCGGAGCCACGAGGATGGGCAGGTGTTAAGGTAAATCGTCTCCTCTTACTAGAAAGCGGTGGGCTCGGGCTTTGAAGGGGGTTTGTTTTCAGGTTCGCACTGCCTGCATTCAGAGGCCAGACAAGCCACATGTCCAGCGTGTGACCGTGGGGCAGATCACTTCCTCTCTGGGGTAAAACGTCTAGGCGGCGCTTGTATGCGTCTGCGTCTCAGTCTGGAAGGCAGACAGCCCCAACCCCAGGATTTCCTTGTTAAAGGTTCACGAACCTCCTTGGCCTGTATTAGCTCCTCTCCACGCGGGACATTCCCGCGAGGAAAGAGCGCGCTGCGCCCGCCCGGCAAAAAGATGGCGGGGCCTGAC